ATAATCTTGATTATATTATTTCCTTATTGTTAGTATGCTTCTGCTTAGTGTTTTCCAAAAAACTCCCCTAGAACTTGAATATTGTTCTGCTTGATATACTTTGAAGAATTACCCCCCCCTCCGAACACCTAATAAATATTAAATTTAAATCCTTATTATATGTCATCAAAACTGCAAGACGAAATGAAGTAACCTATGTTCTGTATTATGTTGTAAGTGACCATAAAAGTCATACGATCTTTAACAAAGCACCGAACTGCTCATTTCTCGACTCGTAAAAGAGAAATTACAGCGGACTATTACAGCAAAGCTGCATTTGCCGTCGTGGTTGCCCTTGACTCGTCTGACAGAAGGTAAACAAAAAAGGCAAACGTTTTTCGAAATTCGTACACTTTTCTGCCTGACGTTGTCAGCTAAGAAGGGCTGTTGTGTCGGGGTTTTTCAAGAAAAATCTGTGATATCGTGCAAATCAGATAATATTATTGTGGACGAGGCGGAGGTGGTGTAAGGGTTGGTGGCAAGCTTACCTCGAGGCTTTCCGGGATCGGATTTTGGATAAACTCACCTTCATGCCAAACAAGCCTTCATCCCTTTGGGGAAGACAAATCGAGCAGGCTCGTCTGGGAGGATAAAAGCACTAACTTGTACATCGGCTGGCTTCAGCAGGTTGTTGTATAGGAAATACCGCATTCAAAAATGTCACTAAGATTCTGAATATAAGTGGAATGTGTGCTAAATCTCAAAAAAGGATTGATCAAGGGCCTCGTCTTTCATCTTTTTTATCACTGTGAACGGATCGTTTTTGTGACTTTGCGGGTTGCAATTCCCACTATGCTGTTAGGATCTTCTGGGAAGAGGTAATTGAGAAGGGGAAAAGACTAGTCGGCGGTGGGACTGCTAACCTCTTTTCTGCTAGACTGATACTCCTAAGCGTAACAGTTCTCGGCGTGTCCCCTAGACCATGATGGAGCCACAGACGAGAAGAAAAATCGCGTGGTTCAGTCATGCTTATGCTCTAGCTTGGCTGATGTATCCACGACCCTGCTATTTTAGGTAACGTAGTTTGTGAGAGGTCTATGTCTAGTATGATACTTTCGTACACAATCTGGATGTGCGGCGCATCCAAGAGAGAATGTTGAGAAACGAGTACTCACTACACGTCGTTTTTTGAATAACGACAGCTGTTCTAGCGCTTCGAGAAGTGCAAGAAAAGCCAATGCAGACCAGGCTCCCTTCATTGTTGCAACGAGGTGTTGCAAAGCATTGAATGGCTTTACGACGCACCTTTGTAATTTTGTTTCGGATGACTTTCTTGATGTGGTATTTAATGTCTTGAGTTTTGCTTACAGTAACTGTGAGAATTGTATGACGTGGTGTTGTTCAAGAATGATCTTGCTGAATCTTTCGTTTTATGCTATCTTCCTGAAGCAAGGCATGGCAAGGAGAACCCCATTAGGATGGAGGAGGTCGTACCTGGCTTACAGATAAATTTTCCGACTTGCGAGGAGGATTCGTCTGCCTCGCGCGAGTCAACTCCTCCCAACTCCTTAGTATGCGGCGACAAAAACTGCTATATAACCCCGATGCGTCGATAGTGATAAAGAGGACCTCTATGCCTTTTCAACAGAAAAAATTTTTTCCTGGAAAGAACTAGCGCTAAACAAACTTCTTATAAAGTTGGTTAAGAATTTCGTAAAGGTGGTGGGGTTGCGGTTCGGCGGTCATTGCAGGAAGTTTTGGTCTGCCATGTGTTCACTGCTCTCTTGAAGTACACAATTTTCGACTAACTCTAGGGATTTTTCTTCAAAAACCTCATAAAAACACAAGTTACTGAAAAGTGAATGGCCTCAGTGTTGATGACGTTATGTACAACAGTTATAGATATGTACAGGGGGGCCAAAAAAGTCACTTTTCTTCATTGACTTTCGAGGCGCTATAAGTTACACTTTATTAAATTCTGATCGGACATTTTTACCACCATATTGAAGAGCATATCAAATACTATCATGACACTCCGCCACAGCCTTCTGGACGAGCGCCATCGAGAGATTCTGGCACGCGACCGCGATGTGGTGCCTGAGATCAGCGAGATAGTCGATTTCTCCGCCACCGTAGACCACCCTATTGAACTCCGCCCGAACCGGGTATTGAGGGGATTCAGGTCAGGTGACCTACTTGGATATTCCATCTTCTTTAGGTACTCAGCCCCCTTCCATTCCAAGTAGGCGAGTTTCTCCAACGCCCTTCGATTTCATGTGGTGGCACTCAATGCTGTAGCAGTACAAAGTTTCCAAGAAGGTACGGGCGACCACATGTGAGGAGGATATTCTTCACGAGTTGCCCAATGTAACCGCCAGCGCTCCTTCAGTCCGGGTCACGTAAGAAAATATATGGTCAATATATGCGTCTTTCCATTACAGGACGTCCAGTCCATACCGGCAACAGCCGCCTTGACGACTGGGTTTTGAAGATGGATGCTCCTTAGACCGTGGTGACGCTGGTCAAATGCGCTCATGTTGAGGTCTTCCAGACTCGTACTGCGTTCTTCCAGGTAGCTAATCCCGATGGGTGACTCCTATACTAGAAGTTCGCAGCTCTTTGGAGGTGACATGAATTTCAAAGGTCTTCTCCAGTCAGGCTACGGATGACTTCATATTTTGGTGTACATGAAGGTGATGGGCAAGAGCCAGCTCCTGTCTTTATCGAGGACATCTTGGCGTATCTTACGCTCCTGGTACTTCGTTATCCACATCTCTGTAATGCGGCTGGCGAAAACTTTGCTGATACGTGACTTGCTGTCGAGGTGACTTTTCCCCCCCCCGTATAACTCGCGACTTTTATGCTGACCACAGCACCTCAGTCCTGCAATCGGCCAAGCTTTGTAATCTTGGCGACTACGCCTCGGAATACCTGGGCAAAGAAGGAGTTCTAGGAATGGTTGAGCACAGGTTCTTCCTTTGATTTCTCATAGAGCAGAGTGCCGGTAAGGGCAGAACATGACAATCTGAAAATAGATGACTTTTCGCTGTGTCCTTTCTCGTTTATCTGCGTATCAGGAAGGAATCATTAATGTAATCCTCTTGCTAGTTTTTTCATACGTCCGTGTTCATAGCACCCTCTTAACCAACTTATACCCCTTATCAGTTCCTCCTTCTTCACTAGTGAATTTTAAGGAGACATCGACGATATGGGGACGACAAAGCAACCACAGATTCGCATCATTGTATTGGAGAAGGGAGAGCACTTGACTACCGTAGTTCGGCGACTTGAGAAAGGTATTCGAATTCTTTTCCTTCTTTGAACGCCTTTTTAAACGCAGTTCCTGAAATTTCAGGACAAATCGTACGTTTCCATCGTGGAGGATCCCTATTGGGAGTGGACGTAAAGATTCGAACGACTCTGACCGGGGATGAGCCGTTGAAATGGACCAGTGGTACTGATCACTTGGCAGTTTACTGTCAAGTAGAATGCACCCGAGCCGGCTCTTTCAAGTACACCTTCACAGCCGATGATGAGTGAGTTCATTCTAATACCTCATCGAGTTTGTTACAATACAACTTTCACTTTAGAGAAGGCGGCAGCGGCTACTTCTTAGTGATGCCAGAGTTGACAGTGAACGGGAAACGCCTCCCTCTTGATGGAATTGTCTGTCAAACACATATTACAAAACTACTAGGTAAACTTTACCTTGGGTAAACTTGTTTTTTACCCGGTAACTCGATGCATTTATTCTGAGTGCCATATGAGCGCTTCAATTGGCTCCCATTCAGGTAGCCTTTCGTGTTGGGAAGATCGCCTACGTGTCTCAAAGGAAAGCGGCTACAATATGATACATCTTACCCCGATACATGAATTGGGTATCTCAAACAGCAGCTACTCTCTCAGTGATCATCATGCTCTCATCCAGACAATCCACGAGGTAAGCGAACCATCACAGGTCCTTGCGGATAGCCTTCTGGACTTGGACGAGATTCATAATATTCGCGATAAACCCGGATTTTATGGATTTCGTTTGGGAGATCCACGATGTCGTGTTAAAATTATGTCATGTACGCTGCATTCACACCAGGACGTGGTTGCTTTAAAGAGGAGCAGTTTGTCGAGATAACCAGCTACTTTTAGCTACAGGGCCCCAAACCCCCCAAAAAACAGAGTTCGATGGGGATTCCCTATGGGGGGTCGTATTTGGCCGCCAAAAGGGGGGTCGTATTTGGGCTGGGAAAAATTTATTTTTATAGTTGATTTTTCTCGCTTTGCGGACGTTTTTGGAGGGGGGGTCGTAAAAGCTCGACCAAAATCCCCATCGAATGCTGTGCCCTGTTTAGCTAGTCTATAGGTGTCGTCGCCTCATGGATCTCTCAACCACCACCAGATTAATTGAGATGAAAACCTTGTCCTACAGTGGATTGGTATCAAGTGCAGCACTTGCAATTACATTCCACAATCATTAGCTCTATGACCTTCTCCCCGAGTCATAAGTCTCCTCTCCTTGAGTCATTCGTTTTGTTATATTTAGAAGTGCTCTATTTTAGGCGGAGATTGTTAGGATTATCTCATTTAGCAGAGTCTTCAACGGAGGAGTGACAGAGTCAGCGCAGCCGGAAAGTATATACCTCTCTCACTGGTGCCCCCCCCCATCTATTTGAGAGTAATGAGGAGGTTAAAGGCACTTACGAGAAAAGTACGATTATGCCCCCCCCCCCCGCAGCCGTACCTGGCCCGCCGATCATCGCTGGACCTGTAAGATTGGGTTCGATACTGAATTCCCCACTGAGAATACTAGTTGCCTTGCCATCAAACACTGATTTTCGGCGCAGCTTCGGCGATGGGGGGGGGACCAATTTGCACTTCCGCTGCTTCCCATTGTCGTGTTCATCGCCTCACAAGGGTTGACATGTATTCTCCACGAGAGCTGTCAGTTCCTACAAACTTTAGTTGGTATCAACTTTCGGCTTTTCACTCGAGTTCACAAATAGGGACTTGATGCGCCTCGGACACGACAATGGGATGTACCGAAATGCTTTACCCGCGTTCCTCTAGCTCCCCCTATCAAGCCAAACTGTATTTACTGTATTTACTTATTTTGTTTTAATAGCTAAGTTCAGACTCGTTTGACGGCAATTCACTTGGATTCATTGTTTCAGCAAGACCATCAGGTCACCTTTGACGATGTGGAGAAGATGGTACAGAAGCTTGAAAAGGAATGGAACATGCTAACTATTCAAGATGTCGTCTGGAATCATGCTGCGAAGAACGCTAAATGGCTTCAGGTTCTTCACTCTTCTGAAATTTTCCATGGCGTACTTCCTATAGTTATAAAAAAATAACTGTGGAAATAACGAGTTCCTACATACAGTTCCTCATCACTGCGGAACCGGTTGGGCAGTGTCCAGCCAGTATAGACAAACCAACCGCGTACCTCGTGAGCGTGCACACTGTTGAAGCCGTTCTCAGCCTTTTGTTGAAACGCGTATGCGACAAAAAGTGGTAGAAAACGAGTAATACGGAGGATATAATACAGTCATATCATTTGCTCGCTTTAAATACTGGTGGAGAGCGGGTTTGGCACCGCGCCAAACGCAGCCGCACTGAACCGCCCCGACAGTACGTAATGATGAGGACTATATGTCATTGTGTTCTGATCTGCGCCTGTTGTATGCAGCAGAGGGGATTTGTGTAAAAGAGCTGAAGGTATGAGAAGCGAACGAGCAGAAAATGGTGTATAAAGGCCTAATTTGAAACAACCGTGTCGGAGGACAACGTTTTAGACGCGGAAGCGGATCTTCTAGCCAGGACCACGTCGCTACGTTGGGGAACCGCAGGGTACCGTATTTGGTAGTTAGGCAGGATCATAACTACCTTTGTGAAGTGCAATGCGCTATATATCCCCGCCTTACCTCTTTCCTCATTCATCGACAGCAGTTTTCTGAGGATAAATGTTTACGGCGCAGTTCAGCTCGGGAGGGACATTTCCCACTTTGTTACTTCCCATCGTCGGTTCATTGCTTTACAAGACTTGAGAGGTATTGAGTTAAAAAGTGGTCTCCACAAAATTTGACTGATATCGCTTCATGGCTTCACAAGGCGTCGAAAAGGCAGAACAAACTTCCCCCCCCCAAGCCGAACTGCGCCTTGTTTACTTCTCATCCCATCTTCTTGACCCTTTATTTGCTTTGTGTTGTAATGTTTCTCATTCAGTATTGGTCGATTGAAAACACAAAGTTCACTGATCGTAGGCGAAGAGCAACTGATATTAATGACATGTAGTAAAGTGAAACACCTGATGTTTTTTCTCACAGTGGTGACAGTTTCCCACTTGACGTTTCTATAGTGATTTGTAGAAACATCGATGTGAAAAACAATCAATTGATTAATGAGATTCTAGTTTATTGATGTTTGTGGTCCCAATTCCCCTGATCTCAGTTAAAATAAATACCAAATGTATTGCAGGAACATCCAGAATGTGCATATAACTGTCTCAACTCTCCTCACCTGAGACCTGCTTTTGTCGTCGATAGGTATGGCCTTCTGTTAGAAGGACGAAAAATCAAATTTCATGGATAGTAAATTATCTTATGCAGGGTCTATCATCACTTTGGACGCGAAGTCGGTGAAGGAAAGTGGGCTTCTCGTGGAGTACCAGAGGTTGTCGATAATGTGCATCATACGAATGTGGGTCCCTTTACTGTTTTCCATAGTGTTACACATTCCACGCTGTTCTTATGGGCGGAGCCGGACCCACGCTTTTGGCCCAGTAAAGTGGAGAAGTTCCCAATGAGGAGAACACACTGCCTGCCTGGTCTCGCCCATACCATTAGCGTGGGATGCACCTCTGGAACAACTGCATGAGTTGATTGTAATCGGTTTACAACTGTTTCATTCAGTTTCATGCTTCTCCTCAAGACTTAATCAAGCTTCTGCAGGCTATCGAATACATCCTGCGAACCGAAGTGCTCCCAAAAATCCGTCTACATGAGTTCTTCCAAGTGAACGTTGAGGAAAATGTCAAGAAGTTCGAGGAAATGGCGAGAGGTATTTATCTTATGAAAGTGCGTCAGGAGATCCAAGTTGCAGCGAGAACAGTGCTGCAAGAGATGTCGTGCAGGGCTCCTCGTTCCCCTCAGAACCTATCTGAAGTGCTGCGTAAGTGCTACAAAAGCTACGCGCGTCGAACTAGTTTTTGTGTGTTGGCACGATTCGGATCTCCTAACCCACACGACGGTTTTCTAAGCGTCTTGGGTGTTTTCTGGCCTGGCTTGACGAGACTAAAAATGTTCGAAAGCCAAAGTTAGGGCGGAGTCTGACACCTTTTTTTGTCAGTTTATTTTTTAGCCGGCTGAAGATAGCGTACCAAATTAGGAAAGATAGAAGTAGGAGATAAAGTGTTCTTCGTTGATCAAGTTGCTTCAGGGCACTACGCATTCGACTTTTAGTGGGAATCAGAAGGGCATTGAAATCTTTTTTCTCTGAACAATGCCCTGTGAGGGGCTACCATTTTTGACTCGGCATTTTTATCCTCCGAGGCAAGGCTTCTGCCATTTCACCCTCCCCACAGGCGGATAAGTATTCCTGAAATGCTGTGTTCCTGAAATGCTGT